GCTTTCAGTCATTATCATCATTGACCCGTCAGCTGAGTAAAAGATAATGTTGAATTTATCGATGGAGCTACAAATGGTGTTGGGCAATTTTATCTATTATAACTTAACTCTTGGATTGTGAACATGTCCATCGTCGACTACCTTCCCTAGCGAATTGAATCCTTTTCCTCATAGGCTTTTCTACTTGACCTAACCAAGTAGGTAACAAAACGATAATTTTTTGAACATTAAGGGGGATTTCCCACTCACTAGGATGCCCAATCGAGTGAATGGGAATAGTATAACCCTCCACCTAAGACCAAGTCCTGTAATAGTCCAAGCAAAATCTAATGATTGCACGTTTGCACTTACTATGAAGACAATGAAATCACAATTGAGGAACTATTTAAAATTTCAATTCATTACAAAGAAAATAAGAAAACATGGATATTTGTACCTTATTGCAACCATGGCATGCTTGTAGGGGAGTAGATCAGTCTAGAACTCACCACTTGAACATGTTTTGGTGGACAAGTTGACGACTCTATCCTTAGTCTTGCCTATAACTTGGAACTCCACTCATTCGATTGCTTAGGTAGAAAGGGGACATGCTTCATTGAACCGTGTGTTCAACAGATTAGTAGCCAAAGGCTAAAGGGCATGTTCAAATTCATTTGGTCATGGAACTAACGCTGGAACATGCTTTTAATGCACTCTATCAAGATGGTTATTGGCATTTTTCTTGCCTATCTCAAACACAAGTTAATACACTCCGTAATGTTGGATGTCATGAGTTTGTAGCGCCTTATCGGTGACTATGCACGTGCCCATCTCTCAAGGCATAATATCATAAGGTGGTTGTAAGCACCCTTGCAAAGCTATTTCAGCTTATTCATATGATTGTTGAAATCGATGACTTTATAGCAATTGGTTGCTAGGCTGAAAAAAGCAACAACATCTTCACGCTTGAACTTGTTTTTTATATTTTTTCCTAAGTGGTAATTGCAAAGACCATGGTGCGCGTCATGATACACTTTCTCAGCTGCATTCTTAATGCCAAGATACTAATCAAAAATGAACATTGCATTTTTAGGATAACCAATCACACAACGCAATTAGCTAAGAAACCATAACCACAACCCTAATAACTAATTGATTTCACTACTCGCAACCAGGTTTAAGTTGCCAAAACTTATATAATTTACCCATCAACTTTTGGGTTCTATGAATATCAATAAATAAACCCAAGAAACCAAAACACATATCTCGATGTTATCTCTACTCTTTGAGATGGTGAGAGCGAGTTGGATGGCAAGATAGACCTCGATGGTGTTAAAAAGCTTGACAGCGAGATAAAGAAATCGAGATTTAATTTTGAAACTTTTATTTGGATGGCGGAATAAAGAAAATCGAAACTATTTAATTCGTCTAAAATGATTTAACAGGCATTGTTGTCAAATCATGCTAAAATTTAACTAAAAATAATTAAAATTATAATGAATATCATTTTTAAATTAGACTTATGATAAGGAGAATTTCTTACAATTTCCTCATTCTTTTGCGCAGTCCATCCTGGTGGCCCAGCTGTTCTCAAAGGAGTTGAAGATAATCTTGGCTTGGAAAGAGACAAGCTTAAGGCGAGCTATCAAGTTCTGAGTGAATATGGAAACATGTGGAGTTCAAGCGTGCTATTTGTTCTAGATGAAATGAGGAAAAAGGAGATGGAGGAAGGCAAAGGTACCACAGGTGAAGGGTTGGAGTGGGGGATTCTCCTCGGCTTTGGGCCTGGTCTCACATTAGAGACGATGCTGCTTCGTAGCTTTGCTATTGATTCAGCCAACTAGACATGGCGTATTATGATTTTACATTATGTATAGACTGGGTTTGTAAACTTTGTGGCGCACCGTTAATAAGCCCTGGTGGCTGTCGAACCTGCAAACTTTTAAAGTCAATTATGAACAAAATTTGGTGTGCGTTTTACAAGTCAATTGCCAGCAAATTTAGGAAAGATTCAACCTGCACCTCATAATCAATAATCACTGTACACAAATTTATCTCTGAAAATTCTTGTATTCTTTGTAATTCAAGGCCACATTTCCTACTCCCAGTTTGAAATGGAATAAGAAGCAAAAAGGATTTTTGACTCCTAACTGGCCTTGCCTTTAAATAAGGATTAATGGAGGTTCCTGTGTTTCCCCACGAGGGTAAAGAGCAGTGCAGGTATTATAGGAATTCTTATCTTTATTGCAATCTGAAACACACTTCATTTTAAACCAGTGGTTTAACTTTAAATTTTATAAAATGATTCAAAAGATGAGAGATTTTTTTATAAATTTTATTTTAATTTAATTACAAATAGTATGATGATTTATAAGTAAATTTTAATTGATATAATCATGATTTTTTTAAAAGTTTAATTGATCGAATCATGTGCCTTTATCTCGATTTGCCAAATGACATATTTTAATGGGTCAAAAGCTAATTATTTTTGGTAATTAATTTAATTACATGTGATATTTATATGATCAATCTAAATTATGTTATCACTTCCATATAATAATACACAATTTGACTTTTAAAAGTTTATAATAAATTTATTTGATAAAACTTTGTAATTTTTTATTGGTCACTAAGTCTAATGAAAAAAATTCAAGGTATAATGTTCAAATAAGTCCTAAACAATTTAAAAATATTCAAATAAGTCATTATTCTTTTATTTTATTTAATCAAACTTTTATATTTTTATTTTGAGTCAAATAAGCTTTTATAATTAATGATTGACTAATTATCATTAATTAAAATGTCACTTATCATTTTATATCCACATAACACTGACATAATATTGATGTGTAAGGATTATCAAACCAAAGTAGCATTTTACATCATCATTATTTATGATATGTCAACATATCATTTCATCATCAATTATAATATATTAGCATACCACATCAACGTCACGTAATATAAAATGATAAATAATATTATAAATAAATCAATTATTAGTTATAAGAGCTTGTTTCACTCAAAATAAAAATACAAGAGTTTATTTAGCTTAAAATAAAAGTACAAAATTTTGATTGAATACAACAAAAGTATAAAGGCTTGTTTAAAATTTCTTAAATAGTTTAAAGATTTTTTTGAATATTATGCCAAAATTCAAAAGGCACCTATCACCTTGTAATTAGATAAATTTTGACATAATACTCGAAAAAGTTACTCCACTATTCAAGAAAGTTTAGTGTCATGTTAGCGTTATATTGACGTAAAATGACAAGTTACATTTTAATTATTACATAGCAACATATAATATCAGCCACTTGATATAGAAATGTCATTATGTCAACCATTAGTAACAAAAGTTTGTTTAACTTAAAATAAAAAGATAAAAATTGATTTAACTTGAAATAAAACTATGAAGACTTAAATTAAAAGAATAAGAATTTATTTAAATTTTTTTAAATATTATGATAATTTTTTTTTATGTTTTCTACAATCACATACTTGCCTAATTGGTATTACATTTTGTTCTAAATAGGCAAGTTTTAGCATGCTAGCCAAATACACCATGGTTTGGCAAAAAGGCTATTTTTTTTTTTAACATTTTGTACTAGATTAATAAAAAATTAATTAAAATATTTATTAAGTCACTGTATTCATGTATTTTGTTTAATTTAGTCACGGTACTCAAAATCAAAATAATTTAATCTCTTAATTTTAAAAATTATTTCAATTTAGTCCCTTCTCTTAACAGAATTTAATTTATCCATTAAAAGGGATAATATCAACGTTGACATGACACTGATGTGATATATTTTTGATGACGTGACACCAACATAATGACATAGAATACCAGTGGCATCGACATGATGACATAAATATAAGAAAAAAAATTTTGGATCAACCTAGTTTGCTAATTTGACTTAAACTCGAGTTAAAAACTAAATCAAATAAATTTTAAATTTTTATACTATGATAAATAAAAAATAAATTTATTTAATCTTTTTATTTTATTTTATTCCAACATAATGTAAGTTATTCATCTAAATTTGACTTTAAATATGAAATTTTTTTCAAAACTTTTTTATAGAAAAAGAATTTAATTTTAATTTTTTTAAAAAAATAAATTAATATACAAAATTTAAAATTAAATAATCAAACAAAAAAATATTTATATATATAAATCTTTTACAGTTAAATATTTAACTTATTAATAAGTATATTTATCATCTACTTAAATAGTTATATTTTTCAAATATTTTTTTTTAATTTAATCTCTCTACATCTTTAATGTTGTTCAATTTAGTTATCATGCTGGTGGCACGTTATCATGTTGGTGCCACGCATGTCATCTTCTTTAACAATAAAATTAGATATTGTTAGAAAAAGAGATTAAATTGAAATAATTTTAAAAATCAAAACGCTAAATTATTTTGATTTTAAATGTAAATATTAAATTAAACAAAATACATGAATACAGAAACTATTTTAATTATAAAAATTTCCTTGAGAGATGCTTTTTTGGGATTTGTAAATGATGGTTTATAGAGGAAATTACGAAATACCCATCCTTATTTTTCAAATATGACAATCACCCTTTTATTAATAATAAAATTATCCCCATTATTATTTTGAATTTAAAAAATTCTCTTAAGAAAAAAAAAAGAAGGCAAACATTGAATAAATTTCAGAATAATATAATTTGTTTTATGGTAGATTTTAAGTTCCCAAAACATTGATTTTACAACAAAACCAAACAATTTCAAGTGCAAAGCTGATGGATTGAAGAAAGAGGAGGAGAAGGCAAAAATTAGGAGTTGAGATCCAGGCTTTACCTTAATTACCAGATGCTGAGTGCAGCAAGCACCATTCACAAACAATTTATGGCAGGCTCACTCAGGCGTAGAGTGTAGTATGGCTTACGAATTGGATGGGCCCCCGCCCCCCACGAAACAACAGGGACTACACATCTTTCCTCTGGCAAAGGGGTAGGCATTAAACCGCAAATAATCAGGGTAAACAAATTAGTCGGAAATGGAGCAACTTAAAAGATGCTTTTTAACATTTCATTGATAAAACACTATGCTATATGTTTCACTTTTCTGAAATTAGTACACAGTGGGACGCTAGCCCTTCATCTATCATATAGTGTACCATGATCTGCCCAGGGCCACAGGCATTTCTGCCATTCTCATGCTGCATAAGCAGCTGCCTGCTATAATCCAATAACCATCAGCTGATGGACCTCCTTTCATGGGGAAGGTTTCCAATCAAATTGAAGATTATTAAAACCGTTAACCGCTCCTAGCCCACTAAGTAACTGGCTCCCCAAATCCTGTTGGTGATTCATACCTTGGTCCCTAGCCATCGTTGTCATGCCTACCCTTCCATTCATGACAGGGTTATTACCCATTGCAGCTCTGATTCCATTGACCATCGCAGATTGGCCAAGCCCACCACCCATTGTACCAAAACCGCCACCAACAATACCTGAATTATTGTTGACACTTCCATTCCCCACCAAACCATTTCCACCATTAAGAACTGTATTGTTACTTGTTGGCATCATTCCATTTACACTCTTCACATCATTGCCTAGAGCGCCAGCACCAACCATACCACCTGTGCCATTAAGTTGGCCAGACATTATTTCATGAATGATTTTCTGAACAGAGCTTTGCGATTCACTTGGGTCAGCCTCACCAGAAAGAGCTGGCTGCTGCATGGGCATATTCACAGGAGAATTGGCAGAACTCATGTGACTAGTAGCTGCCAAAGCACCATGAGGAGCTTGAGGAGGATTATTAGATGAGGAAGGTGTTGGTGACTGAAATGGAGAAGGATTTGCTTGTGCTTGTGGTATTGTACTAGAGGAGCCAGGGGAAGAAATCTGAACAGAATTTCCACCATAGGGACTGCTTGCATTATTCATAGAATTCTGCTGCCTGGAGTTCATTGAATTCTGGTGTAGAAGCCCAACAATGGTGCCAGCAGATGTTGATGCAGATGCTGCATTAAGAGAGCTATTTACATTAGCCACACCATTGTTAGCAGCAAGCTGCATCCCAGAGGCCTGGGCAGAACTTTGGTCACTATTGGAGCTCTGAGCCTTCGTCTGCTGTTGCGGTGTCTGCTGATGCTGTTGCTGTTGCTGTTGTAGCTGTTCCTCAGACTGTTGAGCTTGAGCATTAAAACCAGATGAAGTACTTGTTCGTCGTGGAAACTTAGCCAAACTCTCTGAAGAAAAACAAAAGAAATGAGCTAACAAGCCTGCTCACATATTTGTTGAGCCCAACATGAGAACAATTGAATCTGAAGCTACACATGCATACCATTCTTATTTCTATATACACTTTAATCATTAGTTTGCAATCATATGGGAAATAAAGAAAGCCCCTTGATCGCTACCCTGGAAGCAGGGTAGTTTGCATCAGATGGAGCGAGTCTAACAAACTTAAGTTCATGTCAAGCTAGATAAGCTGCTGATGAGAAGGACAATCTAAAGCAGAACTGGAGCTTTTCTAAGAGGTACGGGGAGAGTGAAGATAGTGGTGCTTAAATCAATTCCCTTGTTGGGTAGCATGCCAGAAGCAAAATGCCTTGATTCCCAATAGTGATACATAATCAGCTGTTCTTTGAAAGATCAAAAGCACTATGTGTGTTTCGGGAACAATCATTTCTGTATTTGCTAAAATTACCAGAACACTAGATGTTCAAACATCAAATTTTTTACCTAAGTACCTATTTCAATAAAAAAAATAAGAATAAAGACTTCAGTGCCTCTTACTTATCTATTCTCACTTAGTCTGAATTTTTGACCCCATGTCCCCTCAAAGTTCAATTACAGCTTTCTTTATTCTTCATCTCATACTTTGCAGTACCAATTATTCTAGGCTTCGCCGAGACATGAACATCTTTCTTCTTGCTCTCTAAATCCCTCCTTACATTCATATTACTACAAAATTATTTGTGTAACCATAGATTGATTGAACCAAAGAGCACTCAATTTCCTTCCAACTGCTTGTGACCTTCAGCAAGCACAATTAACCATCATCTGACATAAATAGGAAGTATTATAAAGATAACAAGCAATGACAATACAATCTCGCATCGGATGAGACTGTTGTATCATTACCAACATAAGAATCCGGGCTAGGTGAATGGAAAACCCAGGAAAATTATTTTCAGATTCCCATGCTTTTTTGTTTGGAGCTAAGTCAGTAAACCAAAAAAAAACAAAGCAGCAAACCAAAAATACCCAAAGGTCAAGGGTTAAGTTTTAATGACCTACAGCTAGAAGAAGACAAATTACCGAAAAGGTAATATTCTAACTAATCTAAAAAAGAAAAATAATTTCTCACACTATCTGCAAAAAGGTGAAATATAAACAAATCGGAAGTTACATCATTCAATACAATAATTCAATGGCATAGCTAAATGAAAACATTGGGCATTAAAAACTGAGAGAACCCTTAGCTGTCCAAAATTAAAAATCAGAACAATATCACATGACCACATGATATCAAAGGGCTATCACATCTACAGCTATCAACCAGCTTCTCCGGTTGGAAACTAGTTTAAAGGTAAACCAATACAAAATGAAGGGTATTAGACATTCACAACAGCCATTGCAGGATGCCCGGATCAGTACTTTCAAGCATTTATAAAAAATATATTTAAAACAAGAAACTGCCAAAGAGAAAATAAAAATAAAAATAAATGAATTTAGCAAGGGAAACCTTGTCCAAACTTACCCATGGGTCCAGTCCTCGTTTCTCTACTGTAATCAATCAAGTCCTTCATACTATTAACAACTTCAGATATCTGTTAAAAACCACAACAAACAAAAAAAGAAATAGTGCATTAGGAGGCTGTATACATTTCAATAGCATAGTTCTTCAAAAAGGAACTACAAATGTCAAACTCATTTTCTCATTTAAGTTTTTCCAATCATCATACCACGATAACAAACATTTTACTCTTAAAGTACATTTTAATAATACAATACTGGTCTTAGTCCTCATAAAATGCAACTGCTAGAACACTTCAATGATGCAAGTACATCAACATGGATCCACAAGAACTTCAGAATATCATGGAAATTAACAATCAAAGGCTTAGTCGATGATGAGTTTGATCTCTGATTCAGTTTTTTCGCCCCAAAGAAAAACTAGAAGCATTTTCTAGAACTGATATCAACAAAATCTCTATGCAGATTTTGTTGAGCCTTTATCCAGCAGTTACAGGAACTCATTCAATGACTGCACAAATTTTCTCATTAACAAAATGTAGCAGAAAAATACAATGTACCAATTCAAAATTCAAATTAGAAATGAAAGCAGCAAGAAATAATAATCAGATTTATAAGAAACATAAACAATGTAGAGGAGGAAAATTATCTTGCAAAAAAAATCCATAATATAACAATACATCTCTCCAATTCACAGCACTCAACCTCCTACACAAATTTATTATAAGCGGATGCAAGACATTACCTGAAGACAACGAACATATCTCTTTGTATAACCCAAATCATTTACCAATGGCACTTCCAAGGCTTTTGCCAATTGCCGAGCTGATGCTACAAACCTAAAGTTTATTAATAGCTCATTAGGAATCCATACAAGCAGTAGAGGTCACACATATAGATATTATTATCTAAATAAAAAGAAAAAAGGAACAGAAGAATCTACTACAAGTTGATTTTATATCCATTGCCGGAGAGTGTGCATGAGTGTTTGTGTCCAAGATTCATAACCAGAATCTATCAGAATGGAGCATCTAACATTACTGTAAAGAGACTATAGTACAAACCTAAGACCTATGAAAGAGACAATAGTGATGTCAAGAATAAACAAGAAACTAAACTCAAAGATACTATGGAATTATGGCCTTTATTTGATGTTGAACTGATTTAGGGCCTTATTTAAGCTAAAATTGATATTAGGAAGTCATATCTAAATGATCTTTATGAAAGAAGGTATTTGCTTTCATTTTATCTTGTGTTTTTTCGATTCCAAGCATCATTATTCTGGTCCTTTTAAGGTCCACTAGAAGTTGCAGATTTTGAATTAAGAGCATTATTTTTGTTTTTGCCATGTTATTTGATTTCATTTTCCATTCAGGAGTTGTTTAAGTCAAGTTTGGTAATGTCCTATTCTCAATGGCCAGTTACAGGAATGAGGTTACAGGAACTCTACAAATTTGTATACAACTTCATTCAATTAATAAAGAACAAGTGTGCAACATTATGACCAGCTTTTATCCTTTCTTTCGGATTGTGTGAAGCAGAACTAAAGCTGTTACACCGGGTACAAAGCCTTTAAAAACATTGGTGAGTGAAGCCTCTGAAAATATAGGCATTATTTCTATCTTTACTTTCCAGCACAATTTCAGATTTACAATGAGCCTTCCCTTGAACCCAAGAATATCCTAATCAGCAGACACAAACCAATTCGACAACAAAACAAAACATTTTCCAACCCTACCCCTGGTTTACTTTTCACCGATACTTTCCACAACTCAGGGCTAGCAGACAGGCATTATCATTTTGCTTTAGTTTCAGCCATTAAGGCTCAATCATTTCCACACTAATTCAAGCATCATCTATGACTATCTTCTCTCATCGAATTAAACCCTAAATCGTATATTCTTGCTCACAACACACCCAACATTTTTTATTTGATGTAATTTATCATCACACTATGCCCTCAAGGGCAAGGTAGGTTGCAACCTATGAAGTGATGCACCAGTACCAAGCATCCCTACATACCATGAAAGACATATATATAACAAACAATATCTAGTCATAACTATAAAATTCTCAATTATCCAAACAACAAAGTAACAACACACAGACACAAATAAAATATTCCTCTGCACCACCTTCACTGCAGATCATCTAATAAAGAACATCTAGAGTATGTCCTCAAGGAAGAGTAATTGACAACCAACCCCGTGCTGTTAGTCAAGCTTGGAAACTTGCACAGGAAAAAAACAGGTCTCAATCTTTATATATTTGCAAAACAGGATGTGTATTATAAATACAAATGAGAAACTGGGAAAAGAAAAAAGGTGTTTTACCCAAAAGAAAGAGGTTTCAAATTAACATAATTGGCAACATCAACACACTGGTGCAAGTGAATGACAGAAAACATACACCTAGGTCATGTGCAAGAGGAACATGGATAGCATACATACCGTAGAAGAGTAAAAAGGAGGAAGGAGAGGTCAATCAAAAAACCAAAACAAAAGGGAAAAAATACTCCATTCAATCAGAAAGAGGCACAATCATAAGGACATACAAGTTACAGTTATTCTGCAACTCTGGAGCAGATAAATTTGATGATGCATTTTGAGTTGCTGCTTGATACTTTTGAGCTGCGACCCCAAGCTGACTAACCTGTGCAACACAAATTACTACAGTCAAATACAACCAATACCAGACAAGCAACAATCAAACTCTTACAATCCAAAGAATACAACATAACAAACAGGAAAGATTCTACAATGAAAAATCCAATATTCAAAGGAATTTCATTCCTTGGGAAATACACTAGCCCACAAACTAGTAAAAAGGCTCATCTAATAACAAAATGCAAATGAAAAGCACTGAAAAATTTTCCAAATCCAACCCAAAAAACCACTCATGTTGATGTAGACGTGTATTTAACTTATAAATGCAAAACAATGTTTGTCAGGCCATTTTTAAAATCCCAAAACAACCTTATATCAACCAATACAAAATGCCAGAGAATTTTCCCCAATATGTAATTAACACAAAGGTATTTCACATCATCACATCTAATTATATGCTTAATACTTCAAAAGGATTTACTCCTAATTTTAGAGAAAATGAGGGGAAAAATACGAAAATCCAGCATCATGATTCATGTAATATTTCAAAATTACAAGAATGGTGCAACAGGAAAATTTCAAGCAGCCAATCAGAAAATAGAAAGACATCCCAACTTCTTGAGATAATAATCTCACAGAATCAGCATAAAAATATACAGTAAAAGTAGATGGATCTCCTTTTCTTCATCATATCCTAAGATGGCAATTATAGTTCCTAGGGCAAGTGTAAGCCTAAAATAACAGCATAAGATTTAAAAAAAAAATTGAAAGTGATAACGTCATAACAGTTTTTGAGTTTTGACCACCATAAAATTCAATTATCTTTACAAGGACAAAAATGATGAAGCAGCTGCTACGAAGAGTTTCACCTCATACAACTCAATACAAAAGAAGCAATCATATGCAATAAAACAAGGAATACAAGATTGCATAAAACTCAATCAACCTGGTTCTGTAGGTTTCATACAGTTATGGCATCCTATGCACATAAGTCAATAGCATATATGTGACATTTCTCAAGCTATAGAGCAAAATTTTATGACGACAACCTGAGGTATCAACAATCTTCTAGGGATAAGTTCTTCATGACGCCGAGCACAAAATTCCCAAGAACATATCTGATGAAAAGAATTAAAGAGCAAAAAACAAAGTTAATAAGGCCTCAAAAAGTTTGAAGTTGATAAAAGTCATTACTCCAATTTGTAACCTTCAGATCTGGTGAGAAAACTATCCGAAGCTGACCATCACGAACAACACGGAGTTGATCAAAAACACTTTCTTGTATTGCTTTTGCATAGTCCAGGACAATTTGACCGGATGAATTATGATACTCACGGGGCATATCAACATAAAGAAGTTCTTCCATAGTACCACTTTCGTATTTAATTTTGAAAAGCCTAGGGAGAACCTCGACAGTCGCCTCTAAAAGCACAGTATAAATATCAGATATACAAGTGATAAATAAATTAGCTACAAGAAACCAATACATACAAATTCAAGCTAAAATAACATAAGTACTTTCTTAACACCCAAAGAAGAAATAATACATATTAATCATGCTAATATAAGATAACCCAAAAGAAAGAGGAACCACAACAAAAACAAAAACAAAAAGGACATACCAAAACCACGGCCTGGCTTGCGATTGCATATTTCACAGTGCCATACATCCTGTAAACATTTTTACAGCAGTTTAATCATCCTTTGCATTAATAGTTTGCTATTAAAAACACAAAAACACAAACAAAAAACAATACAGGAGACATCTGCAGGGCACAAAGACCGTGAGGACAAATTTCATCTATAAATTTAACGGGGGACACAGCAAACTATCAAAGATGTAAAGTTCCAAAGAAAATTGACCTCATCCAATTACATAAGAGGCCACTTGAATGAGGTTCAGGGTTGGAAGTTTCAGCAAGTTTTCTCAGAAACAGACCTGAGGGAAAACACCTGTAGTTTGGCGGCCACTTCCATACATAGAAACACACCACTTCTTTTTGGCATTTGGAGCAAAGTACTCAGCAACAAATTTTCTCCAAAATTCAATATTGTTGTCCTACAAGAAAAACTGGCATGTTACATCCACCAAGCTACTGAATACACATGGAAAGTAGATTCCTCACTCCATGGAGATCTTACTTCAGGTCTATGTTGTTGCTGATACATGTAATGTGTCAAACGCCTGGCACACATCCCAAGCTCATACACTGGTTTCACAGGAGTTCTCAATGACAAATTCTGCGGTTGAAACTGCTGCGGTAATTGTGATCTCTGCTGAGGCATTGCTTTCAAAAGTTGCTGTTGCTGGTGTTGTTGGTGTTGTTGTAACTGCAAGAGTCTTTGTTGGTGCAAAAGATTAATTTGGGCAGCAGCAGCTTGAGAGGGCTGCCGTGACATGTGGAGGAACTGCTGCTGCTGCTGCTGCTGCTGTTGCTGTTGCTGTTGCTGCTGCTGCTGTTGTTGATGCAAAAACAATGACTGATCCGAATGTTGGGGTTCCATTTTTACCTGTGCCAAAGTTCTCATATTTGGAATTTGTTGTGGTTCCGGTTTCACTGGAGCAAGATTCCTCAGCGATTGCAACTGCTGTGGCTGTTGTGGTTGCTGCTGGCCATGCTGATCATTAGTCACTTGTGGCTCCAATTTGACAGCCCCAACACCAGGCAACCCCCCTCTAATAGATTGAAACTGTTGTTGCTGCTGCCCTTGGTGGGTGTTGTGAGGGGTAGAGAACTGTTGCATTGCTTGTTGACCATGTTGGAAATGTTGCGACTCGAGTTGTTGGGACTGCTGTTGATCTGATAGCATATGGTTACCAGAAAGGTTTGAAAATTGCTGACCCTGAACTTGACCAGATGAACCAGGGTTTGCCATGTTTGATGGCACAAAGGATGATGAGGGAGCATTAAACCCCATCCCATTGCCTACATTTGAAAGTGGATCAGATTCGGCCCCAGAGTCCATGCCTCCACGCTGGCTACTTCCAGGACCAGACAGCTGAGGGTTTGGACCCCCATTTCCAAAAGACTGATTTAGAAGGGAAGACACATTGGGCACATTTCCAAGCATATTCATATTATTAAACTGAGCACGGGGCGACACTAACGAAGTGAATCCAGTTTGAGAAGCCAGACCACCACCTTGGGCTCCTAACGTCCCTGAATTTGACCGCAGAATAGAAGGCGGAACAGACTGCGCACCACCTATAGGAGTAGGAGGCCCAGATGGTACCATGTTTCAAGAATCACTATCTAACACTCACTCACAAAACTGCAACAACTATCTAAAACAACATGAATTCAATTAAATAAACGACAATTAAGAGACAAAACACAGAAAGACAGTGGTAGAGCCCAAGGCAATCAGCAGTTTATCCCTGACTTGGCTGCAATCAGCTTCATACTCCTCATTGAGCAGAAATAAGACGGGGAAAGTTCTGCGCCTGAGCATATAGCTTTCTGTTCTACAATACCAGAGGCCAAAACCAAAGAAAACCAAAGCCCAGGAAGGACCTCTGATTCTGAGCATTCTAAAATTGCACCGTCTCCCCAAGACAAGCAACACTCGAATGGCTTTCGCATGAATCCTTATAAAATAGAGCAAGAATTTTCAGATCCACTGCAACAAAAATCATTCCAAAATAATATTAATAACAATTAGCACAAAAAGAATAAAAATCTTTCACCAAAGAACCCAACTCTAAAATCCCAATAACCATAAAATCAGACTCCAGTCAAATCTTAAAGCAAAAAGCAAATCTCAAGAACTCAAAAAGCTCGTCAAAACCAACAAAATTTTAGTTAAAATTAAAGAAAACTCACCAAAATCAACTTCCCAAACTCAAATTTTTAACCACCAAAATGCCCAAAAATTGCAACTTTACTATACAAAAACAAAAACTAATGCTCAACCAAAGAAACACTAAAAAAAACAACTAAACCCATCTCGATCGAGCCCTAAACTGCACAAATCAACGATCCAAAACTTTGAATGAGTAAACCAGCAAATGGGTATTAAAGTAAACAAGAAAATAGCAAAAGGGTCAAAGCTAAGACGACTTTAAGAAGACTTACCAGAGTTAAAAAAATTCCCACAGTTACAGTCAAGAGAGAAACAAGAGAAGGAAATAAAAGAGAGTCTCCCAAATCTCCAAAGCTTTGATTTCAATTAAAACATACCCAAAAAAGCCCAAATTTCTTTAACTCTCTTTCTCTTCAAATTCTTTTATTTCTTGCTTCAATGAACTGAAGCAATGAAATATCTTTGTATCCCACTTCACCACAGAAGGAAAAAGAAAAAAAAAAACTTCTTTTGGCTCTTTGCTCTTCTCTTCAATCAAATCTTCTGCTTCTTTCTTCTTTTCTTAACTTTATTTTTTTTTTATTCCACTTAATATTTTTTCCTTGTCTCAGTATGTGCCCTGTTCTTCTTCGCTGTATCCAGAGAGAGAAAGCCGAGAGGGAGAAAGAAAGAAAGAGAGAAATGTTTTTAGAGAGAGAAAGAAAGAGAGTGTTTGTGTTGTCCTTGCGGACGTCAAAATTGTATTCGATCGGGTTGAATATTTTTTTTTTCTACTTTCATTCCTTCCCCGTCTTTACCTTTTGTGTGAAATCAAGTCAAATGCTATTCTTTCTCTTCACTTGTCTGTATGTTTTTTTTTTTTTTTAATACCATGGGATGATGGGATGGGATGGGATGGGATGGTGATGGAGGCATGTGCATGCAACGCATGCATGCATCAAGTACATCCGTCCACCATGGATGATGGGATGTAATTAAGTGACGCATTGATTTTGAGTTATATTTATTATGTTGCCCTATTTGCTGCAGGCGTTAGAGTTCCTTTGTATGAGAATGCTTACACCAAATTACGGTGCATCATTCGTTTCCAGCGGTTAGATAGTAGAAATGTCCATGATGCGAGATGTACGGTGATCGTATAGAGATGTCACAAGCTGGAGTATTCCTCCAAGTTGGCAGATCTGACCCACTTGCTTGGCCCGTTACAAGTCGGATTGGATTTAGACTTTTTTGCTCAAGTTTTGCTAAATATTTTCTTTTTTTGGTACAATGAGAGTACTGGCCTTTTATTACATCTAAAATATTTAAAATCAATATAAATATTTTTATTATTTTATAATAAAAATATTAGTTTGTTGTTTTATAATAAAAATATCATTTGTATGGACAATTTAGAGTAAATCCAACCACCTCAAAACATTATTATGTATTATATATTAATCATATTAGTCCTAGTCAATTTATAAGATTAATTTTTTTTATAAAATTTGTGTTTATCTATATCTATATTAACAAATAATATATATAATATGTAATAGGTGATTAAGCTTAAGTTAATCGATACTCACTCAATTGTCAAAATTACATGAAAATTAACTAATATTGTATAAAGTACATAGAAAATAGGATCCTTTTACTTTTTCCACTAATGAGAATCTGGGTCTCATTATTTTTAGTTTTACTTGCATGTAATACTAGCAATAATAACATTTCAAAAAGAAAAGTAGGTTAAATATTCAATTTAAAATCTAATGTTTTTTGTCAAAATTTCAATTCCAGAATGTAACTTATCATTTTTACCCAATTAGAATATAATTCTTTTTAAATATATTCATTCAAGGAAAACAAAGAAAAACAACTAGTAAATACAATTAATAAATTTATCCAGGAATTGATAGATTCCGTGCTTTGTTTTTCCAATCGCAATGGAATATAATAGGCACAGATATCACCAACTATATGTGTGCTGTTTTTGATGGGGCAGAGATAGGTGACGAGTATTGTAAATCCATTATTACTTTGATTCCCAAATCTAAATCCTTGGAAATTATCTCTCAATATAGGTCGATTAGTTTGTTGCTTGTTATGTTTAAAATTCTCATGAAGGTCATTACTAATCATTTGAAACCATTTATAAGCCAACTAATTGAGGAAACACAATCAAGCTCCATACTTGGAACACATATTGTTAAGAATATTATTGTTGCATAAGAAATTATGCACTCTTTCAAAACGAAGCAAGGCAGATCGGGGTGGATGATGATTAAGATAGATCTTGAAAAGGCTTACGATAGACTTCGTTAAAAATTTATTCATGACACTCTTATAGATGAAAATATACTTGAGTGTTTAATCAATATTATTGTTCATAGCTAGAGTAGCAGTAATTCTCAAATTTTATGGAATGGGACAAGATCCAATAACTTCAAGCCTTCTAAGGGGTTCAACAAGGAAACCCTCTCTCTCCATACCTTTTTGTATTGTGTATGAAAAGGTTATCTCATGGAATTAAAAATGCTATAGCTTAAGGTCTGTGGAAACCCATCAAGCTTAATAGACAAAAACCTCCACTTACCTATCTTTTCTTTATAGGTATATGGCTTAATTTTATTTGCAAAGGCATCCACCTCCTAATATTAGAGGATTTATGTATGTGCTCGAATGAAAAAGTGAATGCAGAAAAATCTTCATTCTACTGTTCAAAGAATGTGGATCAGGGATTGATTCAAAGACTCATTGTGAGCTCTGACTTTACATATATAGATAATATGAGTAAGTATCTAGGAATGCCATTATTCAGTGGACATAAAGGTTGACATATGTTCAAACAGTTAAAAGAAAAAGTCAAAAGTCGATTATTTTCTTGGAAAGCATCTGCCTTGTCCTTTGTTGGAAGATTTACATTAGTTAAGTTTATACTATCTAAAATTCCTTAATACACCATGCAAACTATAGCCATCCCAATTGACGTGTGTAAGAGAATTGAAGCACTTTGTCGTCGATGCCTTTGGGTAGGTGATGGCCATTCAAAGAAAATTCATCTTATGCGATGGAATGAAATTTGTAGGCCCAAAGATGAGGGAGGTTTAGGAATTAGACAATTAACGATAATGAACAAGGCATTTCTTTTAAAAATGTGTTGGCAAATAGTCTCGAAACCCGAAGCTTTGTGGGTGAGATTGGTGAAGGCAAAATATAATTATGGAGTTTTTGCACGTCTTGATAGGTTACAATGCTCCGGCTCATCACACTTTTGGACTTTGATTGCACGTTTGTGGGAAACATTCAGGAAAAATGCTCATTGGGCTATTGGTAATAGTCTCATAGTTCGATTCTAGATGGATACATGGGTAAGTGAGTGACCATTAATGGAAGCTACCAAAACAAAAGGTTTTATTTTTGAAGACCATTTCCAAGTCAATAATTTTGTGATGTCTGATGATGAATGGGATTTTAATAGTTTATCTTTGTATCTTCTTTCTGAAGAGTTAACATTGTTTTAGAAAATATCGCACCGCAACAAGGCACCACCTCAAATCAACCATACTAGGCTCTATCTTCTTCCAATCTATTCACAATCGCATCTGCATATGAGTTTATGCGAAAGAATTCAGATTTAAATCTAGTGCCTAGTTCAGGGAAATGGCAAGTAGCTTGGAGTTGAGACTGTCCTGAGAGAATACGGATGTTTTTGTTACAATGTCTTCATAATCGATTGTTGGCCAATAAGAAAAGATTCAGAAGACATTTGTCCAATGAGCCACTGTGCCCCCAATGTGGTTTAGTAGCTGAATCTATCATTCATGTTCTCAAAGATTGCTTAAAGGCAAGTGCAACTTAGCGACGTCTTATACCATCAGGTGTGACTTATTCCTTCTTTAATTTATCTAAAGCCAATTAGTTTTTATCATAATTAATTATGTCTAATAAAGAGAATAATGGTGCATGATGGGCTACAGTATTTGTGACTACTTGTTGGTTTTTTTGGAAATAGAGGAACACTTTCATTTGTGAAAAATGCAAATGTTCAGATTAAAAGGAGGTTATCACTAATTTGCAACATGGTCTTATGTTGTCGATTTGCACACGTAAATATATGTATTAAACAAGTAATATAGACAATAATCAAACAAGTATACCCATTCAACCCACTATAGAAAATTTACACCTAAGGCCTCTTTGGAAGACCATGATGAGGACAACGCAAAAATAATTTTTTGTATCTTTCCCAAGCTTCGTACAACGATTATGAATATTGTGGCGTGAATAATGTAATATCATTCTTCATTTTTGCTGTCTTAGCCAAAAGAAAGAACTTAGCAAGAAACTTTTGAGCAAGATCATCCCATGTCGTTATTGGGCCAATAAAGAACACATTCAACATGCTTTAACTTTATCCCAGAATGAGAAAGGAAAAAGCCTAAAATGAATTACATCATCTGTGATACCATTGTGGTTGAACGTGTCATAAATTTTCAAAAAGTTTGATATATGGCCATTAAGATCATCATTTAGAAGGCCCCCAAACTGAACTAAAGTTTGAATCGTAGTGATGATAGTTGGCTTGGTCTCAAAATATTTTGCTTGAATAGCTAGCCTTCAAATGCTTGATGGCATTCGTTGTACAAAAGTAACAATACAATCCATTAAGCAACAATTGTCAACTACTATGTGTTCTTGGATTTGCTATTCACCGTATTGATCAACCATTACATTTATTGAAGAAACACCTTGTTGATTTTCTTGTTGAAGTCTGTGAAATATTCTCTAATTTTTAAATCACACGGAAAAATCTTCAAGTTGTTTGCTATTCTCATACAACGACTGAACATACTTGTAAAACGAAGAAATAAAACTTAAATTAAGACTAATATGTAAAATTTTAATATTAGTAACTAACAAAGAAAATAAAATCCCCTACAACGTTGACAAAAACTTGTTATCAATTTTATACACGCAAGTATATGTATCGAATAAGTAATAAAACTAGTAAGTCCCGATTATCGTTCCTACAATGATTTGTTTTTAAAGTTTCAGTAAGTACTAAAATTATATAATAAATTCGTCTTATTTAAGTTAACCAACAATTATAAAAAAACTAGTCAAAGATAAAATTCAAACAAATAAACAAGAAATTAACCAACAAAAACTAAATATAATGAGAAAAGCAATAGATTAAAAACTTAAGATCATGGGTTCATTCAACATTTCATTTGATACTAAATTTTCCTATTATTTATTTTTTCTGGGTAATTTTACTAACCTAGAATTCAAAGCTATGGACAAGTCTCTATCAAAATGCTTGTATAAATACCTAACTTAATCAGTTCACTATATGCTTATAGGAATCAATTAAATTAAGTTCATTAAGCAAGTGTCCTAATTTGATTATGTATGTCAATTAGTGTATGTCTACCCAAATAGCGAATAGATTACCTAAATGACATGTACATACATTATTAAAATCTTAGTCCAACCTAAATCTCTCTGTTGAGTTTTAATTAGATTCATAAATTAATTAATTATTGGCCAAGCAATTAATGACATTAAGAACATATTTAAATAAGTAAAATGATATCCATTCATGATAAATAACACAAAAAACCAGTATTCAGATTACATGTTGAAATCCAACATAATCTTAGATAAACAAATTAGTGCATAATATCTAAATAAAACACTCTCCAAAGAAATTTAGTCATGAATTTAAAACAAGAAAATAAGAATAACGCAAAAGGAGAGAAAGAAACTACTATTAAATCTTAGTGAATCTCAAAACTCTCTTAATTATTATTGAATTCTTAATTGATTCGTAGTTTCAATTCTCCAGAAAAGCTACTGCTATCTTTCCCTCTAAATGCTCTCAAAAAGGCTCTTGAATATGTATAAGGGTGCCTTACTTTTCCAATTTTCCATCAAGTTTAATTATGGATATCAGGGTGGTGCTGCGACGCCATGACAAGTTTTGGTAGTGTCGCGATGCTACTTTTTTGATACTGCGACGCCATGCTCTCAACCAATTGTATGATGCACCCATCTTGCCTAGCATCGCAGCCACAAGCTTCCAACACTGCAATGGTGGGCTTTTCAGCTCTACAGCCTTGAGTGACTCAGCGTCGCGGCCTCAGTCACCTGGCTGCCTTATGTGCAGTTTGAATCTATCTATCATTTTCAGACATGATTTTCACCTTGATTTGTTTTAAAGTAGGCGAAAAGTACACTTGAAAGTTATAGCCCATTCTCTAAACTTTTCAATGAATCAGAAATCAAGTCAATTAGACTTTTGCAACTTAAGTTATCTTTAAATTACCACATCATGTACAAGTGACACCTTCACCATATTTGTGTTATCATAACTCAATTTCACCTTACTCATCACATATCCTGCACATAACCATGAGAGAAATCAACATTAACTCTTCTTAAA